CCTCATTTACTTTTATTTTCTTTTGCTTGCCCAGTATCTTTGCTGTAGAAACTTCTCTATGATATTAATACCTTATACATTTCTCCTCGTAGCTGAAGAAATTCATTATTTTTTAAGAGTAACAGCGTTCGGCAACGCATATTTAGTGACATCCCGAAATGGTCAGGATATTGCCAAATGCTTTTGTTGGGAGAACCGTTGAACTGGTAATTTCTTGGGCGATAAAGCGGACTATTGAACTGATAATTTCTTCGGACGACAAAACTAGTAATTCTTTAGGCAACTAGTAATCACTTAGATCGCTAGCAGGCTGACTATATGACAAAGAAAATCAGTTGAAAAAGTTCGAGTTGCGTAGTTTCAAGGATCTCGTGTACTTACGCATAAATACTTGGAATGACTACACTACTTCGCCACTGTTTCATATTTTGAACGTTCTCCAGTGCTGTAGTCGACAACCATGCCAGTGACTTCGGTCCTGATCTCTCCATAAAACGAAAAGAGAATATTCCTTTTTTTTTCCGGTTAATACTTGTATTTATTTCATATTACATCTGTTGAAGTGCTAGAAAGTATTTAAATATTTTCAGGTGACCTGCCCCGAATGTGAGCATTCGTTCTGTGCCATATGTCGCTGCGAGAAGTGTATTTGTTCGGAAACGACTGCCACCGAAGAAACTATTGAGCGCACCTGTCGCAAATGTCCATCCTGTGGTGCTCCGACCGAAAAAAGTGGCGGTTGCTCGCATATGCATTGCATCCAGTGCAATTCGCACTGGTGCTACCTGTGTAGAAAACCGTGGAGCAACGACTGCCAGTGGGACCACTGGTTCGATTAACTATCAGAAATCAGCCCAGCACGGAGATGAATTTTGTCCCTCTCTGTATTTTATACCCTCCAAACTACCCCCTCCTCCTCATTCCCTCCTCAGCCTTCCCTAGTTCCTTGCTTTTTACCTTTTATGATACTGTTGGTAGTTCTTGCTGACCGCTGTTTTGTTTTATTCATGTGATAATTTTCAAATTCGGTTAACTCACGTGCGTATTGCTTTGAACTGTGAAACTCAGAAATGAGAGCAGTTGTACACGAGACCGGCAAAATGGATGCTTATTTGGAGAAACGGGAGGTGGAAGACAAAATTTTTGTTGTATATTTCCTACTCCTGGTAAAGTGTCTTGGTTTAAAACGAGGCGGTGGTGGTGTTCTATATATATACGTCAAGAAAAACTCGAAATAGTTACGGCTTTGTCAAGCATCCTTTTGGGAGAATCGTCCAGTTGGTAGTTTCTTCATGAGAATGGGAATGTATGCGACTTAATGGACCGAAACATTCGATTAAATTTTCATTTTTATTTTTTTTTTTTACTTTTATCTTTTTACAACCTTTTCCGTAACCATAAGTGTTTTTGCAACCCTTTCCATAACCAAATAAATATCTAAATTTAAATCCAAAAACGTCAGAAGTGATTGACTATCAGGCGATGCAGCATTGGTCAAAGCAATACGTAGATGAACCAGACTTTGTATTACATAATACATCAAGTACTGTTGTATATAACTTATTTCTGTTGAAAAATTGTTTTTTTTTTTTGCTTATATTGTATATGATTGGCCTTCGAAAGTAATTTGCTCATAGAATGCGGCATTTATTTTGTTGATTGATTGGCAACAGGGTTTATTTGCATTTAGCAATAAACTATAACAAATTACACGTTCACGCAAAATGTAAAAATTTTCAAAATTTTAATTTTCAAGTAACAAACAACTTGAACAAACTACGGTTATCCAGAAGTTTCCAATAGTTTCAGCCTCTTCTCATTGAGCTTCCTTTCTTCGCGTGCCCGGCGTTTGATTCCTCTCTTGATTTTTGCGTACACTCGTTTGCGTTTCTTCGGAATCAGCATCTCACGTAATTTGAGCTCATGCCCCTGGAAACGTAATAAAACCTCGTATACGACATGAAGTGTTCGATCCAAACCAAACCACCAACCCGAACAAATTTTGCTTCAGAAGTCGAAAAAGTGTGCTTACGATAGCATGTAAAAATTTTTTTCAAACCGATGTCCCGGGAAGATTGCCAGGATAGCCCTTGCACTTCAGTTATGTAAAATTCTCAAAGCATTAAAACCCCCCTAAAACGGATGTTCCTATTCGATATGGAGCCTCATCGTGGTGTAGGACTGGCAATTTTCAAAACCATAACACTAGCGTTCAACACAACACTAGTTTTCAAGGTCATTGGCATCTCAAGACGACTAAAGTTTTGCTAAAAGCTTTTTTTGAAAAAACCACTGAGTTGGTAATCCCTTTAGAGAATATAATGAACATCAGGGTTGCCAAAAGACCGACCACCAGTTGATGCACTACTGGTCAAAGCAATTGGAAAGTCGCCAGCTATATAAATAGAGATTTAGATCATACGTAAGATTCAGGTTTAGATGAAAGACCATTGTTTCTGACCTGTTCGTTGAGCTTTTTCTGCTTATTTTCTTTATACATTCTGCCTTTTTCCACTTTCATCGTCACTTCTTTTTCTTCTTTCTTGCTCGACAGCTTCCTGCTTTCACCTTCTTTTTTATCGGCAGCAGTTTTAGACGATCCTGGAAAGCAACCGAAAATTACAGTTGTCAAATTCCAAATCAAATAAGTTGCATCGAAACCGCCAAAATTAGCGATCCATGTCAACAGGCCTCTGTGCGCAAATCCTGTCGTATCAAAAAGTGGTTGCAGCGACGTAAACTTTCACTGCTTGGTGCAAAACATTCTGCCACATACGAAGCAGTACAGGTTGCCAAGAGCGATCTTAACACACACACCAAAGACATATCGGAACGACTAAAGCTTTGCCCCGTACGTTTGTTGCGGGAACTGTTCAGCTAATAATCCTTAGAAGGGATCAAAAAGCAAGCTGCCCACCAAACGATGCAACAGTGGTTCAGATAAATAGGAAAGTCTGATGTCGGGTTTTTATGGAACAACTTTGCCTAAGCATCAATTTCATA